TTTTGCAATTAAATTAAAAGCATTAGTTCCATTTCATCTTCAAGCGAATTTTGGAGTAACTTTTAAAAATTACCGGGTTTTAAAGACACAGCTAAAATCACGTTTCCATGGTTACAGAATATTCTACTTAAATTGAACAAGGGATGTCTAGATTTTCCTTATGTCAGTATCATTGTATCAGTTATTAGCTACAATTTGGTAAGGGGTAGGGATGTATTTTACAATGAAACCTGACATCAGTTGAATGGATGTCGTCTGAATTTTTTTTTTTTTTAAATTGTTAACAGTAAAAAAATTTCAACGTCATTTTTTAAATTTAAAGATTTTCGGTTTTTTTTTTTTTTTTTTTTCCTAATACTTTTTATTTAACTACGATTTGAAATATTCTCCTTTTTAATTTTTATTATACTATATTCTTTTTAAGAACAGTTAAATGTATTAGAATCCATTATATTATGTAGGATTATTTTAACATCAAGTTTAAGTATGTATATGAGGTTACATTTTTTTTTTTAAATTTATGACTATGACGGCAAAAATGGTTACTTAATTTCACTGATTTAGTAAATTTTATTTTATATATAAACCTAGTATTATAATGTTTCTCATGTAAGTACTACTAGGACATGGGCCATTCAAAAGCTTACATCTTATGGCATTTCATATTAATTTTATTTTACTATAGGTGTTTTTTTGATTTTTTTTTTAGTGTGTAGTATTATTTAAAAGAAATTTAGGTTAGAATTCATTCAATTTAACTACAATTTATATACAATATATATATATACATATGTGTGTGTGTGTGTGTGTATGTGTATTTATTTGTATATAGGGTTGTAAATTTTTTTAATTTCTTAACACGGTCAGAACGTCATGACCGTGTTCAGAATTGATATTGTGGTGAGTTGGCTTCTTTTTTCCGTTATAGGATAAGCTCCCGAAAATATAATAACAATCAATTCAAAGCTTGAAATCTAAATCGTAGCTAGTTGCATTTTATCTCATTTATTTCATGCATTCTCACACACACACACACACACACACACACACACACACATATATATATGTGTGTGAGAGTGCGTGTATGTGTGTGTCCATTTATATATATATATATATATATATATGCAAATATATTTTTGAGTGTATGTCGTACATGAGAAAGATAACAAAGAATTTAAGCGGGCGTGTATCCTTATCGTGGGTGGCTAGACGCATACATGTCAATAACGTTAAACTGAATAAAATTCAGATATGTAATATTACTTTCTATGATATCATTTCGTTCAATATTTTGGTATTTTCCATTGATTAACTGACCTTTGCCGTTTACCGATCAGCCTCAGAGCAATTTGATTATAAATCAATAAATCATTTGTGTTATAAGCACAAGAATCTGTAGGATTCGAATGATTTCTCAACGCACAATCGAACACTGAATATAGATAAAAATAAGTCAAACACCCTCGCTTTGCATAAAGTATTTTTTTTTATTTTAATGTAATGGCCGGCAGCTCTGGTTTTCTGGATAGAGCTGTCTGTCAGGGCGGTTAGACAATCCCTGTTCTAGACATCCATTCAGGTTAAATTGTGTTTATGGCTTATATTGCAACTATGCTGAGCAGACCTTCGTTACAGTTTCTGAGAGGGAGCATATTATCGGTCATGATCAGGAGATTGAACAACGCCAGTAGGCTCAAACCCTCGGACATTATGACTTTTAAACCTGCCGCTAGATCAACGATCGGCGGCTTTTGAACAGTTCTGTCTGCCAAATTTCACTCAAAAGACTGGGTCAAGACGTGGTATGATTTTCAGGCAATTTCCAAAGTTAGCGTACGTTGGAATCGCCTTCTCAGGACAATAGCACTAGGAAATCATCTTCTTAACAAATTCAACCATGGTGAGATTCGAACCCGAGTCTCATGGTCGGAAAGCCCCCCCATAATATATATATATATATATATATATATATATATATATATATATATACTAGCAGCATGGCCCGGCGTTGCCCGTGCTTCATTTAGAAATCATACGGCTCATACAGTAATCGCTATCATTTAAAATATTTTTGCCCTTCCTTGCCTTTAAAGGACTGCCCTTTGCCACGCTGATGTTGCTACATGCCTTACTTCTTGCCTATCTCACACTGCAAATTTTTCTAAGCTCTATACAAAACATTAAATGTGTTACGAAAAAATAACTAAACAAAATGAACACGGAACGATCAACTTTAAAAAAGAACTCGGAACTGGAAAAACCAAATGAAAAAAGAATGTTAACAACAAATACTTTTCACACCTAACCCAGTTCTGCGGAATCAGAATCAACGTTGAGTTTAAGCAAGCGAATAAGCCAACTGGAGTAAAGTGCCATGCAGATTTAAATTTTTCCACTTGTGACGAATGCAGCTATCACTTTTTTTTGCATACTAGCAGCATGCTAGTTAACATTCGTGTCAGTCAGCTGTTGGCTCTCACGCTGGTCAATAGAATCTTCCTGCCTATTCGTGGTAGCCAGCTATTGGCTCTCACTCTGGCCAGTACAAAATGGCCACAAACTACATGAAAACTGCCGTAGAAGCATGAAAAAGTCGATTATTTCCACTATCGATGGGAGTGTGGAAATGTAAAGTCGGTCTTGGCCTTCCCGCTAACTTGGAGCATGTGCATGTAAATTTTGGTGCAAATCCGTCGAAAATTGTGGCCGTGCATTCGTTACACACACATGAGGACACATGGCGCAGTGGATAAAGGTGTTGGCCAGTGTGAGATAGGCAAGAATTAAGGCATGTAGCAACATCAGCACAGCAATGGGCACGCCTTTAAAGGCAAGGAAGGCAAAAAATATTTTAAGTCAAGTGATAAGCGATTACTGTATGAGTCGTACGATTTTGAATCAAGCAATGGCAACATGGGCCATGCGTCTAGTATATATATATATATATATATATATATATATATATATATATATATATATATATATATATATATATATATATATATATATATGCAATTTATTATATATATTATTTATATATTATATATGCGCGTTACTTATTGGAAAGTTCTCAATATCAGTGATATATATATATATATATATATATATATATATATATATATATCAGTGATAGAAATAAATATATGTATATATAGATAGATAGAACTATATATATATATATATAGATACAATATATATATAGAGAGAGATAGAATATAGATAGAATATATGTATATAGATAGAACTCAATATATATATATATATTTATTAAATAGTAGTTAATTTTATGAACGTTCTTTTTATAGAAAATACAAGTATTTAAAGGACGAATATTTTATAATAAAAGTATTAAATATTCATTTACCGGTAAATGTTATTTAATATTTTTATTGAAATATTCATTTACTTAAATACGAATATTTTCTATAAAAAGAACGTTAAACATAAAATGTCTTTAATAAATCAATAAATTGTCGGACTTTGTCCATTTTTAATATATATATATATATATATATATATATATATATATATATATATATATATATATATATATATATATATATATATATATATCATTAAATAGTTTGAACAAGTTTTGTCTACTTATTTTTAATATGATCCTTTTGTAATTACTGTTAAGTTTCTTACTAACCTTATTAAAGAAAGAAAGAAAATTGACATTTAATTCTGAGTACGTGTGAAGTGAAAAACTTAATGAAAATATTCTGCCAAAATATACGCAATATATATATATATATATATATATATATATATATATATATATATAAGGTTTAAGATTCACGAGACAGCAGATATTTTTATGTATAGTATTTAATATTAAAAATAATAAACAATGTTAAAATGGGGCCTTAATGATATCGTTTAATAATAATGTTTAAACCAGAATCCCATGAAGACTGAAAATTTTACCAAGAAACTTCGAAGTCGGGAAAAATTTGATATTTAAAAGTAGTCGTTTTATATAATATTATATATCTATCTATTCAAACATTTGAAGGCGTCTCCAGAATTAGCATGGATTGAACCTGACTGAAGAGTGAAATCTTTCCATCCAAAAATGAATAAGAGCTCTTAGAGTCATTGAAAAAAGAATGGAATCAGTTATCAAATTTTCCTAAACTTTTGCAACAAATCTCAAAAATTCGTGATGCAGTAATCAAGACTAAAGGATGATATTTTGAGAGAGCAAAATTTTATCATAAAATGCTTTTTTTTTCTTTTTGACATACTAAAATTTCTAATAAAAAATCATGTCTCGCTTTTTTAAATAATTTTCTCTTATTTAAAGTACAAACAACTACATTTACCAGGGGTTGCTTCAAACTTTTGAACTGTAGTGTATATACATATTAACATAGTATAATATTCTATTACGTAGAACAAACAGCGAATGCCTATTAAATCTTTCTGTGAATTTCTGTTGGTTTTCAAGCCAGGCGTCATACTTAAAGTTATGACACAAAGCCACCGTGCTTCTATACCCGGATTACGGCCATATCACGCTGAAAGCCTGCTCATTGCCTAGAAGGGTGACTGCTTGAAGGCCTGGTCATTAACTAGATGGGTGACTGCTGTAAGCTTGGATGATGTAATGGATAACTGCTAAGAATCGAAAATTGGTGAACCGAGTTCCATGGGTTCACTTATATTCACTTACGAGCAAATACCTTTGTAAATTCACCTCTTCTCTCCCCAGCTATGGGTTAATTAGCAGTACTTATATTAGTGAATCATTATTATCTTTGAAAAAGATTCTTATAAGCTAAAATATTTTCTGGTTTTAAGTAACCCGCAAAAGGCTTATTAACCATAAAAAATCAAATGAATTAATTAAATTCTATCAATTTTGATCAGGAATGCTGATTTATTCTACCATTCAAACCTACAAGAAATTATGACAATCCAAGAAGATCTTTAGACTAAAGGATTGTAACATACTATTAGTGAGATTTATTTAAATCTGTGTGTTCACATTTGTTATGATCCAGGTTAGGACCAAGGAAGAACAACACGAAAACAAGAGTAGAAATATTACACGAAATAATAATACAAGATGTGGAAGGTCTTAGTATGACTGTCAGTCTGGTTTGGAGTGAACTACTATCGGCTCGACTCGATTCGGTATCTAGCCCCCCCACGAGGGTTTGCATGTGGCACAAGGCCGAGTTTAACGTGGGTTTGATGAGACCGTAGGCTCGCATAAAAAAATGCCCCGTAGAACCCGTATAAACGAGATCGGGTTGGTCAACCTCCCCGAACGAGACTCTGTCCTTCGGCGGAGCCTCGTCAAAGGTTCCTCTCTGCTCAGAGGCATTTAGTTCGACCATCAAGCCAAGAAGCTCGGCTTGATTCGGTATCTAGCCACCCCCACGAGGGTTGCATGTGACACAAGGTCGTTTTTTATCGTGGGTTCCCTGAGCCCGTAGGCTCAGCCAAAAAATATGCCCGGATAACTCGTAAAAACGAGATAGGGTAGGTCATTCACCCCGAACGAGATTCTGCCCTTCGGCGGAACCTCGTCCGGGTTCCTTTCTGCTCAGAGGCAGAAAGTTCGACCGTCAAGTCGAGAAGCTCGGCTTGATTCGACTCTCTCTCTCTTGAGAGTCGTAGTATACATAGTGTTAGGAAGAGTTCATTCTGTAGTTATAGGTAAGGACCCATGACAACATGCGAACCCTTGTTTATTTCAAACTCCACACTATAAATAATAGGGAAGACTGGGTTTTTTTAGCCTTGGTAAGGGAAAAGAGTCTAGGGGAATAACGACTGTGAGTTCGAAACCTTTCTGAAGAAGGATGGATTGAAGAATTTAAACCGCTATGAATAATTGGACAGACTGGATTCTTTAGACTTGATAAGGGATCAAATCTAAGAGAAAGACAACTCTGAATTTAAAAAGCAGCCTGAAGAGAAGCCTGATTGGCCTAGAAACACACACTTCAGCGGAGGCTGCAGTACATGTGGGGCCTTATGGGTTACGGGGAAAGGGGTCATGTAAAATAATTGTTGTTCAGATTAATTAATATTCATATATGCACATATATGCACATACACACACAAACAGAGGCTCTCACACACACACATCAACCTGCCTATCTATCTATCTATCTATCTATCTATCTATGAGATTCCGTTAATATCTATCTATCTATCTATCTATCTATCTATCTATCTATCTCAGTCTGTTCATTATCTAAGTCCATTCATATCTATCTCTCTATGTGGCTATCAGTCTGTTCGCAATCTATCTATCTATCTATCTAAGTTTATTCATATCTCTCTATGTGTCTATTATTCTATCTATCTCAGTCTGTTCATATCTATCTATCTATCTATCTATCTATCTATCTATCTATCTATCTCAATCTGTTATCTATATATCTATCTCAATTCAGAGGTTGAGTTCTACAAAGTAACAATTCCGTGGAATTTCCTCCTTAGAAATGGAATATAAAAGGGTAATAAGGATGAGTCGACCCTGTGTACGTGGCATGGCGCCTCCTAGCTTATGAAATTCTCAACTGATGGAACCAAGATCTGTAGAGAGTCTAGCAACGTTTCGACTGGAGGAAAGCGGCCCAAAAAATTAGCTTCGTTTACCAGGGCGCATACACGTTCACTGATAGACATTTGTCGTGGCATACATCATATTCACTTGGACATTCAATAAGATGGTTTCGTGCACTTTTACGCATACATCCACATACACACACTGACAGAAAGCTTTTATTTTATTCCGACATGTTGTATACTGATGGATTCAGATCCATATAAAGTAATTATTTACTTTCTACCGAACAACGCTCCGAAAAAATCAGCTCAACGCCCGCCACTGTTTCGGAATAACATAAATTCAAAGTCTAAAAGTCCACAAACGATTTTTGATTTATCAGCGTCTACACTTACAGTGAAGAGGTCAGGCCATTATTTACCGGGGTTATCAGTTGATTTTTAGAGGAATAAAAACAGTTTGGCTGCTATCTTTATGGCCACAACAATCAATTGCAAATGCATGTTGTTGCTTTTTATTTAAATTTCAAGCCCAGCAAGGCAATAAAGCCACTAAGACGCAAGGAGGGTGGTTACTGAGTATGATAGAATATGAGAAAATAAAGACATTATTAAGGAGTAATATAATACTAAATATATACATACAACAATCCATTTCAAGTTAACAGTAAATATAATTCATCCTTGATAATAGCTAAAGGTATAGGCGAAAGCGTTTGGAAAAATAAAACATTTGGACAGGTTTGTATAATTTACTTACAGAAAAGAAAAAATTATGAAGTCATATGAAAAATTATATAAAAACTTAATTAAAGCACCATATATTTAATGAAGATTTCATCCATATATATATATATATATATATATATATATATATATATATATATTAAAGACATTTTTATGTTTAACATTCTTTTTATAGATACAAGTATTTTAGTAAATGCTCTGTTTATAATAAACAGTATTAAGTAACATTTACCGGCCTGAATTATAAACAGAGCATTTACTAAAATACTTGTATCTATAAAAGAATGTTAAATATAAAATGTCTTTTAATATATATATATATATATATATATATATATATATATATATATTAATATTGTCTTTGTCCATTAATATATATATATATATATATATATATATATATATATATATATATATGAAGAAATATAGTCTTAAGGTGTGCTATATTTATGGGATAAGGGCTTTAGGCGTGACGTAACGGTTAGCAAGCTGGTCTTGCTAAAACTGTTACAACTGAATAGTGAGTTCGATCCTCACTGGGTGCCCCATACTTTCGACCATGTGCCACATCTAAGCCTCGATTAGAAAATCAATATTTATGGGATAAAGTGCTCAATATCAGAGATAGAGCATGTAATATAAAATTGAACATAGATGTCAACATTTGGGGCGACAGTTCGTTTCATTGCTAGATGCAATCGTCAGCACTCGTGGTCTGACGATTGCGTCTAGCATGAAACAAGACTCGTCTCTCTAGTGTTGACTTATGTTCACTTTATATATATATTTATATATATATATATATATATATATATATATAATATAAAAAGAATGGTAGTGTGTTACCATGTCACTATTTTTCAATTAAAAGGACAGAACTCTCTAACTTTCAAAGTTCATGTTACAGAAATTTGGGATTTTTAAGTTTTTATTACTGCGATTGTGTTAAGCGATTTTTTTATGCGAATTTTGGCGACGAATTTTTTGGAATGACGACAGTTTTTATAACTCGGAAATAAATTTAGGAATAATCGAAATTCATTGTAAAATCCAGCGAACGTCACCAATTAAATAAAAAATAATTGTTTGTACGGAAAGTAAGAGCCTACGCACATCAAATTGTCTTTAAATTAAGTAGAGCCAGAAGAAGTATTATTGAACTTTTAAAAGGTAAGCTTAAATATTAATGCAATACTTAAATGCAACGGTCAATTTTGAGTTTTTCTGAAGTTTATTGTTGCCTATTGCATATGGCAGCCGTATGTCTCGCAAATAGAAATCTCCGCCAGCAGAGATGGACATATTACTGAAGGCACCACACGAAATTATACTAGAGACGGCGACAGTCCGTTGCAGATTTATAACTGAATTCTTTATGTCTCATGCCATATGTGCCTCAGAGGAAGGTTATGAGATCAGGTGTATGGGTCACTTCCTGGCTAGTTTGGGTTCACTTAAAACAAATCGGCTCTTTCTTCTATTCTGATTTTCTTTCATCTTCAGCCTACAATTGCAAAATCGAACGGCGATTGGGAATGGATGATGGGAGCAGATTTTTTGTTGAAACTGGAAGCTTCTAGTGCTGAACCTGCACATTGGAGGCGAATTTAGTCATCAACGCCATCATTATGAAGGAAGCGATCGGCAAAGAAGAAATTAAATTCTTGGATACGAGATAAAGTCGACGATATATATGTGTGTGTGTGTGTGTGTGTGTGTGTGTGTGAGAGAGAGAGAGAGAGAGAGAGAGAGAGAGAGAGAACAAAGTTCTTCCCCACCTCAATAAAAAAAAAAGGTAAAGACGTTGTTCACCATGTTTGCCGTAGTCTCTGAATATGGAATCCAGTGAAGTCCGTAATGTCTTCAATATCAGAGGTTGGCAATGTAGATTCGGAGAAAGTAGCGGCTGTTAATTCTTTAAGTCTTCGATATCAGGTTGGCAGTGAGGATATTTTGTGAGAAAAACAAAATGGCTGACTTTGTACACGTCGCATTGAATATTTTGAGCTTTCTGATTGGTTAACCCTTCTATTGGTGAACTATAAAATGAGTCAGCTCATTTTGACTGGCTCACTAGTACATAATACATTAAAACTGCAACAAACGTAAGCATGCTGAAAAAAACTTAATAAAAAATTAATTAAATCTTCCTTGTCGGCTGTATTTAATGAAAGCTGTTTGAAAGAAAGGTTACTGCCCAAATATATATATATATATATATATATATATATATATATATATGCGCGCACACGTGTGTGTGTAGTTGAGGTCCACTTTAAACAAATTTACGCTCCTGTCATTTTCTTTCACCTCCAACCAATTCTTGCAAAGCCAAATGGCGGTAGAGAATGGATAACGGGAGAAGGTCTTGTTGAAACTGGAAACTTCTAGACATGAACTTACATCAATCAATGACGTCATCAAAAGGGAAGCGATCAGCAAAGAAGAAATTAAATTTGCCGCCAACGGGCAAGTTCAGGACTAGAAGCTTTCAGTTTCACCAAAACCTGTTCCCATCATCCATTCTCTGTCGCCGTTTGGTTCTGCAAGATTTGGTTGGTGGGTGGGAGTGGTGGTGAAAGAAAATCAGATTAGAAAAAAGTCCCAATGGCGTGAATTTATTTAATGTGGACCCCAACTTGCCAGGAAGTGACCCATACACTTGATGTCATGACCTTCCTCTGAGTCACATATGGAATGTGACATGCAGAATCCAGTTATGAAACTGCAAAAGACTTCTGCTGACTCTGTTGTAATTTCGAGTGGCGCCTTCTGTAGTATGTCCGTCATGCGTAGCCATTTTCGTTTGCTAGTTCAATAATTCAGACAGAACTCTAGTTACAAAAAAGGACCCTAAAATGTATCGCTTACCTTAATTCCACCATTGAGAATCTCTTTCATTCGATTTTTAAATGCATGTCGGTTATTAGGAACCGTTAAAATATATTTGCATTGTAAAGATATATAATTAAAGCTATTTACATTATTCGGTCTATTGTCCTCATCTTTGTCGTCCTGTTTATTACAACGTTTCGGCCGTTGTACGGTCCGGCCTTCTTCAGGTGGTTGGAATGTCGAACTGGCCCTTTATTTCGCTCACTGGAGTAGACTGTTCTAGTTCCATGTGTCATGTTTAATAGATGTCAGTTATCAGTTATCTCCTGTTAATTCCCCACTCCTAGTTCTCCACTGCCTGATATTGAACTCACACTTTTTGGATCCTGTCACTGGATCTAACCAACGTATTTATCCACTGTGCTATGTGTTCTTGAGGACATCTGAGTATTAATTTCTGGGTATTATAAACCTAATGTCTTCAGCAACCATTTTTACCAGTGCTCGTATTGCAATTTTTTGCACATGGAACTAGAACAGTCTACCCCAGTGAGCGAAATAAAGGGTTCAGTTCGACATTCCAACCACCTAAAAAAGGCTGGAGTGTACAACGGTAGAAACGTTGTAATAAATATGGCGACAAAGATGAGGACAATAGTCTGAATAATGTAAATAGTGTACATAATACCTCATCTCAGAAATATAGACAGATACTGAAAGGCCGAAATATTGTAATAAATATGGCGACAAAGATGAGGACAATAGACCAAATAATGTAAACAGTGTACATAATACCTCATCTCAGAAATATAGACATATATGATTAACGCTTGCCTTAATTCCTGACTACCGACAATCCCTTTCATTTTGATTCTCAATATAGTTTTTATAGTTAAATTTAGTTTTCATTATAGTTTAGTAACCATATTTTATCAGTAATTTTTATCTTAATTTTTAATAATTTTATTCTCATTCATGTTTTTAAGCCATTCTGTAATTAGATTAACATTAGCAATGCATTTACATTATACATTTAATCATAACATTAATTCAAGAACATTTTTCTTAAGTAATCAGTGGCGTACAAATGTTACGAAAAAGTGCAGACAAATTTGGGTTTTTAAAATATTGCCATTTTCTGTTAAATCTTAAAATCCAAGTTTTAAGCACGAATGTCAATACAGTGAATTTCCCCCCATTCATAATTTTCGAATTACCGCCTTTCATTGTGTTGATTGGATAACGTAATACATTTTGAATATATTACTCATTCCTAATAATTAGTGTTCTCTTTGTTAATTTTATATCAA